GAGCGAACTGCAGCTCGTCTCACCGCCGCTCCGACTCGCATTTTTGTTGGTGTTTTGGTCGCGGGAGGAAAATATCCCGAGCCTCCCTCCCTCCCTCCCTCCCTCCCTCCTCTGTGGTCGCAGTTTTATTTTAGCCAAAGACATCCCTCCTCCTCCCCCCGTCCTCCTCCCCCATGCGAGGCTGAATTACAGAGCGACTCCCTCCTTGTTGTGGAGCGCTCGGCCTCCTGGGGAACCGGCTGGGATGTGGTGGCTGTAATTACACAGCAGGCTGCCAACAGGTCGAGGCCATGGAAACTCTCCCCCCTCCCGCCTCACCCGTCCTCCCCCCGTCACCGCCGTCTTTTAGGGATTTTTCTCCATTCTTAGATGCTCCGTCCGCAGCGCATACCTCAGAAATGAGCAGGTTTCAGCGCCAGGACGTCGACTAAAAGGTCGCAGTTTCATTTCATCACATGTCAGAGGCTCAGTTCGACTCGACTCGCATCCGTTTGGGTCGAAGGTTCGCATGCGTTCAGTTCCTAAAGCTGCACCTGGAGAGAAGGAAGAGTAGCCTAGCTTAGCATTGGGACTGGATGCAAGGGGAACCTGTTAGCCTAGCTTAGCATTGGGACTGGAAGCATGGGGAACCATTTAGCCTAGCTTAGCATAGAAACTGGAAGCAGGGGGAACTGTGAGCGTAGCTTAGCACTGGGACTGGAAGCAGGGGGAGCCTGTTAGCCTAGCATAGCATTGGGAATGGAAGCAGGGGGAACCTCTTAGGCAAGCTTAGCATTGTGACTGGAAGAAGGGGAGACACTGTTAGCATAGCTTTGCAGTAAAAACAGGAATAAGGGGGAACCTTCTAGCTGAGCTTAGCATAGAAACCGACATGGAAGCAGGGGGGAACTGTTAGCTTAGCATATCATTGAGACTGCAAGAATCGGGGGGAACATTGCTAGGTAGCCTAGCTTAGCAGTGAAAACAGGAAGCAGGGGGGAAACTGGTAGCCTAGCTTAGCATTGAGACTGCAAGGGGGGGGGCATTGTTTGCTAGCCTAGCTTAACAGTGAAAATAGGAAGCGGGGGGAAAATGGTAGCCTAGCTTAGCACAAAGACTAGAAGCAAGAGGTAATTGTTAGTCTAGATTAGCAGAAAGGCTCAAAGTGGGGATAACCTGTTAGCCTAGCTTAGCATTGAGACTGGAATTTGAGGGAAACTGTTAGCCTAGCTTGGCATCAAGACTAGAAACAGTTGGCAACTGTTAGCCTAACTTAGTATTTAGACTGGAAGGAGGGAGAAACTGTTGCCCTAGCTTAGCACTGAGACTGGATGAAGTGAGAAACTGCTAGCCTAGCTTAGCATAGAGACTGTGTGATTACTTAAAGAACTGGATGGGACTGCTATTTAGTACCAAGTATAAATACACTGTAAATACTGTTTAACAAGTAAATGCAGTACAGGTGCAGTGTGAAAACAGCATACAAACACTAAATACATTATAAATACAGTATACAGTAAATTATTTACTTGATTTAATCAGCGGTTCAGTTTTACCGTTACAGAGGAGGAAGCTGCAATCACAGAGTTTAGGCAGTTTTCATTCAGACACACTTAATCTGACGAATAGTTTATCTAAATAATTGGAGATGAACTAAATAATCCATCAACAGTGTCGTTGTGAACGTCTGAACCTCACTTTGCACTTGTTTTTCTTGCCTGTCCTGTTTTATTTCTTTTTCTGTCTCTTTCAAGTCACTTTTATTCTTGGACTGTTTCCGTTACTCAAACCGATTAACTGATTAATCAGAATAGTTTGAAATTAATCAATAATCGATTGGAGTTGTCTTTTGGCACTTTCAAGGAACTTTCTCATGTTTTCACCCAAACTCCATCAAACTCATGAAGCAGATTTGGTTTCCTCGTCCGTCGTCGCGGCGACAGCTCCGTCTGCTTCCTGTTTGGAGGGCGGTCATGTGATCGCCGTCTGACAGGAAACGGGAGAAACAATAGAGACGCAAATATTTAGTGAAGGTCAGCTCATCACAGAGCTGCAGAGAAACGATCGTTCACATCAGAACGTGTGATTACAACTGATGGAAGGGAACGAGGACAGAGGAGAGGAAGCAAGGTGCTAGTGAATGTCTATAGTGTCCGACTCTCACTGTGGGTGGAGTCTGCTGAACATTTGTCGAGGGCCGAGCCCAGATGGAGGGGACATGGGGGAGGTTTGGGAGGTCCCACTCTGCTGGAGTTTCCAGCCTGTTGCAGATAAATGGGGATTTAATTCAATTAGGAGCCACACACTGCACAGGACACGCCCACCCCACACAGAAGGACACGCCCACTTAGAGGACACACACACATCTAACACACGTGTTCAGTTACAGCAAGGAAACTATTATCTGCCTGTTAGCCTAGCTTAGCGTAGAAACTAGAAGCTAGGTGGAATTTTTTAGTTGAATTTGGCATTGAGATTTGAAGAAGGGGGAATCTGTTAGCCTAGCTTAGCATAGAGATGAGAAACAGGGTACTATGGCATAGCGCAGAGAATGGAAGCAGGTGGAAAACGTTGGTTTAGCTTACCACAGAAACTGAAAGCTAAGAGATAAACTAATAATAAGATAAACTGTTAGCCTATCTGAGCATAGAGACTGGAAGAAGGGGAAACTGTCAGCGCAGCTTAGCATAGAGACTAGACGCATGGAAAAACATGTTAGCTTAGCTTACCCCCGAAACTGGAAGTAGGGGGAACCTTTTAGCCAAAACTAGGATAGAAGCTGGAAACCGGGGAAACTGTTAGCCTAGCTTAGCACAGAGACTGTAGGAGGCAGAACCTGTTAGCCTAGCGTAGCATAAAGACTGGAAGCAGCAGTAAACTGCCAATTTAGCACAGAGACTGTGAAAATCTTAAATATTTAAGGAACTGGATTGACTGCTGTTTAGTACTTAGTATAAGTGCAGTATAAATATAGAATAAATACACAATAAATACAGTTTAATGAGTAAATACAATATATTTGTGGTGTAAATACAGTTTAAAAACAACAAATACAGTATACATGCAGTAAATTCAGTGTAAATACGGTAAATTGAGTTTAAATAATTCATAATTGTTTTATAGATGCAGTATAAATAAGGATAAATACGTGTAAATGCAGTATTTATGTGAACAAGCTGTTTACATAACTACACAGTGATGTTTTGCCGTAATTCCAGTAAACTGGCTGCAGTCTGTCAGACCTGCAGGGAATCAATAATCCCACACAGGCTGCCGATCGGTCGGATCACGAGAACTGAATGTTTTCCTGGTAACCGCCGTTTGTTTGTGGACGCGCCGATAATTCAGAGCGACTGCAAACAGCTTCTGGTCGTCGGTCTGTGCAGGAAGCAGCAGTAACTCACATTATTATCAGGACGACACACATTTATAATTAACACCAATCTGTCTCCGACACGCAGCCAGCTGGTCAGTGTGAGTCCAGAAGTATGTGGACACTGCGGGTTTGTTTTTCGTGGTTTGGTCTCAGTTTCGGTTTCGTGTGTTTGATGAGCAGGCTGGTACAGACGGATCGCTGTGGACAGATACAGTCGATCTGTCCGCATACATTTGGCTGCGTTTGTTTTTTTCTGAATGAGACAGTTGCAGGAAAATCTAAAAATAAGGCAGGATTTAGTTTAGATATATGGCCAAAAATATGTGGACATGCTCTGGACCTAAACCATATAAACATAACCAGAGTATGACATCGGCTGTCCACATACTTTTGGCTGGGTAGTTTATTTATCTGACAGATTCAAGAAAATCTGGACATAAACCAGGTGTTGGTATAGATACACTATGTGGGCAAAAGTATGTGGACATGCTTAGGGCCATGCACAGCAGAAACTGTATAAGAGTGTGTCTAGGGCTGTCCACATACCTTTTACCGTTTATTTAAATATTATTTAAACCAAAAATATGTGGACAGCTCAGCATGTTGTGGCATACTGACCTGTCCATATAATTTTGACGATATAGATTTTTTTTTTTGACCATTTACTTAAATGAGAAGGTTGCAGGGAAACCAAAGACAGCTTTGGCCTAAAGCATGTGGACACATGTGGGCCCTGCACTGCAGCAGTTGCCTAGGAGTGTGGGTTGAGCTGTCCACATACTTTTGACCATGTTGCATTTATTTCAATGAGGTGGTTTTGGGAAAATCAGTACAGTTTGTATTGTGTGGTCCAAAGCCTGTCCACATACTTGTGTATCTCTACCAAAACCTGGTTCTCTTTTAGAATTGTGACTTAAACTGTCCACATATAATTGACCGTGTAGTTAAATGAGAGTGATAGATGCACTAGTGGTCAAAAGTATGTGGACAGGTTTGGGCTCTACACCCTGGGAGCTGCATTTATTTCAATGAGCTGGGGAAATCTAAACGTGAACCAGGTTTTGTTTTAGATTCACAAGTATGAAGACAGGCTTTGGGCCTTGCACAGTAAAAATTGTCTCAAAGTGTGACTTAATATAGTTAAATGAGAAGGTTAGATACACTAGTGGCCAAAAGTATGTGGACACCTTTGGGCCTTCTGCCATACAAACTGTACAAGAGTGTGGCTTCAGCCGTCCACATACTTCTGCTCATGTGTGTGCGGTACCTGCCTGTGTTTGTGTGATGGATCAGTTGCAGCTCGTAGCCGCTAGGCAGCGACCTCGTTTCCACGGAAACCTGCTGCCTCACCTACCTCCCTCCTCCTCCTCCTCCCCCCCCAGCTGTTCGCTCAGGTGATCTGCTCTGAGGGCGAGAGAGAGGCAGAGAGAGAGAAAGAGAGAGAGGAAGCCAGCAGCCGAGGACTCAGCGGCTTTCATCTCAGTACCTTCAGCGAGCGGCAGCATGCGGTCGCAGCACCTGGACGAGGACGGCGGCGGGTTTAAGAGCGCGTCGAGGATTTTATTAGAGGATGCAGCGTGGACACCTGGGTGACGGGAGAGGAGGAGAGCGTGTCGCTTTGAACACGCCTGCAGGGATTAAACACATGTGGAAGGTCACGTTTACCGTCCCGCAGCTGCTGCAGCTGATGCAGCTCCAATGCAGCCTGAAGCTCCGCCCTCCTCGCAGCGGACGAGCCGTGATTGGCCGTCACGGTTCGAGCCTCGCATCAAGGTTTGATCGATGTTTCGAGGCGTCGCCGGAGGATGTTCTGTGTTTGAGGCGTGTTGGTTTCCACACGCGATGATTGAAACGACCAAACCTGCAGCTGATGTAAACGTTAAATCATTGAGCTGCGTTGGACGACGTTTGTGTAAAAATAAAGTCGGTAAAATCATCATCAGGCAGAGTTTTTATGTCAGTTTTCGCGTTTCAGGTTTATTACGATTCATTTTTTTGTTTGTACGAACTTTTTTGTCGTGTTCGCTGCTTGTGTTTGAATTTTCACGTTTGTGTTCTTCTGTTTCATTCTTTGTCTTCATGTTTGTTTCCTCACTTACGTTTGTATTTACGCATCTTTCTACGTGTTTTTTGTGTTTGTTGTTGTTGTGTTTGTGCGAACTTCTTCAGATCGTGTTTGTAAGTTTGTGTTTCTTGTGATCAATGTTTTGGTTTCTTTACATTCATGTTTGTGTTTGTGTGCAATCTTCATTCTTTCTTTGTGTTTTTTTTCTCAGTTCTTTGTGTTCTTGTGTCTGTTTCTGTCCAGATTTGTGTGAATTTCTCCTTTGAACGTGTTATTTGTGTTGCTGGAGGCGTTCACGCTGCTGTCGTGGTCGTGTTGCGACCTGCCCGACGCTCGCCGTCCTCCCTCAGAGACGTGTTGTGTTTCTGCAGCACCTGCAGCGCTGCAGCGTCGCACACATGAGCCAGTGTTCGCTCTGATCCCTGTTAAATACCTTCTCATGACCACCTGCCCGGAAACCCTCCTCCCCCATCCTCCCCCCGCCGCCTCCCCCCCTCAGAAACAGCTGGAGGCATTTGTTGCATTAAAAACAGCGACTCTGTTCTCGGGTCGGTCTGAGAGAGAATGTTGGAGCAGCGATGACGGAGCTGAGGGGGCGGGAGGACAAGATTAATGTGTCTTTGTAAAACGGGCCGCTGGGGGAGGAGGAGTGGGAGGTCTGTCCTGCGACCGGCGCTTTGTCCCGGCCGCCGTGAATGGACACAAAGAGGCTCAGAGATCCGCAGGTCGCAGCGACGCCTCACGTCCACCCCAAACCTGCTGCAGGTGTTTGCATGCTGGAACTGCGCTGATGCTGCGTTGCCCCCGGCGACACAGTCACCGCTGAAGTTTTAAGGTGGAATTACGTCTGATGCCGATGACCGACCTCCGCCGGTTGGTTGATCTTTAGCTCATGAGTCGTTGCGTCTTTGAGCGATTGTCGTCTCGGCTCAGGTGGTGATCATTAATCATCAGCTGCTAAATTAATCACCAGCTGCTCTAATCAGCCATTAATCAGTCTGATTAATTAATAAACAGCTTCTTAAGTGTGATATTTTCTGCTTTCTTTCCTCCTCTGGGACAGTTTTTTAAAGATTTTCTGACATTTTAGGGACAAAAATTAACCCACAAACGGTGCTCGGTGTAAAAAAACTGAATCTGTGTTTCTGACAACAAACGACAATTAGATTAGATTAGATTAGATTAGATTAGATTAGATTGTGCTTTATTCATCACCACAAAGGGGGAAACTCACTGGTTGCAGGAAAAGAGCACAAGACAGTTAACCTCAGAAAAACAACATGCACAGAAAAAACAAAGAGGACAAATAAAAGTGTAAATAAGACGAGCATCGCCCACAACAGGATAATTACTGTTACTGATTATTAGGTTCATTACTTTTAAAATCTTCATAGTTTTGCCATCACAGCGTCTTTTGGCGTCTTTTCACAGTTTTCAGACATTTTTAGAAACCAAACAGTTGATAGAAAATAATAATTGTGATTATTTAAATGTTTAATGAGTCGATCGACAGAAACATTTTAAAGCAGAGCCGTCAGATGTCTGTGGTTTATTTGGTGTTTTTCTATGACAGTGATCTGAGTGTCTGTAGCTCCTTGTAGCTCCTTGTTGGTCTGCAGTATGTGAGCTTGTTTCGTAGCTTCTTGTAGTTTTGTGGACGTATCACCAGATCCGTGTTTTGTAGCTTCCTGTAGCTTCGTCGCTCCGTGGACGTGACGGCTCTTTTCTTTCCGTCCTCCAGGATGATTGATGGCTGCAGCTCCTCATGCGTTCACACCAGATGAAAACATGAGCGATGTCTCTGCTGCGGCAGGTCACACATTCTTTCAGGCCAAAGCCAAAAACCACAATAGCGCCGGGTGTCGCTGGGTGTCGGGGGCTGGGCGGGGGAGGGGGTCACATTATATCCGACGTATACCTCCGACCACACAGCGAGCGTCCACGTCTCACTTTCAGCTCCTTTCTGCGCCCCGTTTGATCACAGAGGGTTTACCCCGGCTGAACCGGCCCTAAATCCTCCGTCACACCTCGCATTAAAGCCCGTCCTGTCCCACGCCCTCCGCCCCCGCCCACCCCCGCTCTTGGTATTCAGCCCAGGTCAGCAGATTTCGGCCCGGCCCACCGTGGCTCCCCTTTTAATTTGCACCTGTTGCGCAGTTGTCCGGGAGGCGAGCGCCGCAGACAAAGATCATATTATGAACAGACTAATCTCCATGTAGCCGGCGGGAAGAAAAGGCGAGGAGCTGCGATCTGGTTTCTCCTCTGTGGGAACCTGCAGCGTCCGACGGGGAGCTCCGGCGCTCAGATAAAATCTGCAGGAGACCAGATAAAGACGCGTGAACCTCCGAGTTAGCCGCTCCGGGTGAAAAGGAGGCTGTTTCCATCCGTCACCTCCGTCAGGTTCACCACACTTTATCTCCCGCAGCTCAGATCTGCGGCTCGTCGGGCCGATCCGGTCCAACACAGAAACCCTGCAGCTGCAGAAACACATGAATGTGAAGCGATAAAATCTGTGTGGGAACATCACAGCTTGATGAGGGGATGCTGCAGAAACAGACACGAGTTTGTTTCTCGTTTGTCTTCGCTGTGGGTTTGTTTTTCACTGCAACATGAAGTCCTGCAGCTCAGTAGAACCAGAACAACATGAAGAACGACAGAAATCAGAAAAAATAAGAGAGAAATAAAATTTTCCAGTAATATTGGACAGTTTAGTTCATGTCAGACAAAACTGGAATAAATTAATTAATAAAAGAAGTTCTGAGTCATTTTGTAGAAGATCCAAATAGTTTTAAACAGTTTTGTCCTTTTGTAGGACTTTCAGTTCATTTTGACCCGGTTCTGAATAGTTTGGACAAGATTTTGTAATTTGCTTCAATTTTTTGGACAAAGTTTGTCGTCGTAGAAAAACGTGTTGAGTCATTTTGGCTTTTTATCCTTTTGGGCGATTCTTTGGCTCCATCAGACCAGTTTCTGAATAACTTTACAGTTTAGTTCACTTCAGACAAGCTGGAGGAACTTTCGGTGAATTTCTAAGTCATTTGTAAGAAGCTTGGAGTCATTTTGGAGACAAGTTTCAATTCATTTTGAGCAGATTCTGAATAGTTCAGGACAATTTTTGAATCGTTTTGGACAGAATTTGTCATTTTAGGAGAACATTAAGTTTGAACAGTTTGGTTTCCATGTGGGACACGTGTCGAGTCATTTAGGTATTTTATCATTTAGTTCAGGTTCTTTTGAGCGATCGTGGCCACTTTTTGTGTCATTTTGGTCCATTTTGATTATTCTGTGCACGATTAGAATCAAACCTGGAATCTGACATTTGTGTCCACAGCAGTTACCAGCAAAACGGAGGCTCCTCAGATGTTGAACTGTCAGAATCATTTGGGACAGAAGGAAGAAGTTTTGGTTGTTAAAGGCTACGGTTGATGGAAACAGTTCACGTTTGGCTCATTTTAAACGAGACGTGTAGAATAAAGTGGTTTTGATCAAATGTGACCATTTGAAGCTCAGGTTTGGGTCATTTTCTGATGCAGCATCGTCTCAAAACTGGAAATCTGGTGAATCTTCCTGTTTGTTTAAGTTTCTGGCTGATGTTGTCATCAGGTGATTTTTTTAAAGATAACGTGTCTGTTGTTTGTGTTTCTTGCGGTATTTTCGTGTTTATGCTGAGCTGGTGTGAGAACACGCTAAGACGGCGGCCATCTTTGTGTTTCAGTGCTGAACTATGAGAACGTGGTGGAGACAACCTCGGAGACGGACGAGGACGACAGGACGCTGCTGTCCGAGGACGCCGGCTTCGCTAACGGCGGCGGCGGGGAGGATGAGGAGGCGGGCAGCCCGGCCGGCGTGCCCACCATGGAGGCGTCGCCCCGGGTCGGCCACGCCCTGCTGTCCGACCACCAGGACGGATCCGAGGGCCTGCAGGACCCCCACGGCTGGAGGCTGGAGGACGGACGCCTCGGTGAGTTACCCCCAACCTTCATCAGGGTGGACAAGGAGGGATTCTGGGAATGTGAGGTCACACAGCGACTATAAATCAAATGTTTTACACTCATCTGCAAAGTGTTTAGAGTTTTTTTATAGCTTCTACGTGTCGGTGTTTTGTAGTTATTTATAGTTTGTTTACACATGGAGGTCTGTAGTAGCTGTGTTTGGATC